ATAAATGAAACAAACACAACTGGAATCTCTACGCTTTCCATTACTAATTATAATACCATCAGCAACAATTTTATGTTCACTAATCTGCGAAAACAATGTTTATCTTTGAGGAAGGTCTTTTCTTTTTCTTTCTTTTCTTCTTTCTTTTTATTAATTTAAGAACAGAATTCCTTGTTTTAAAAAACATTAGTTTGTATTTCTCAAAAGAATAATTATAGCATGTTGAAATTTTAGCCTAGGATTTCTAATCAGAAAAGCACTCTAATGATGCCCTAAGCCTCCTAATTACATGGCCTTTTAATGGGATTGGGGGGATTCATCTTTCGGTACATATATGGAAGAAAGATTTCTTAAATATAAATTCTTTCAAAACAAATAAACGAACATATTTCTTGTAGGGGTTAACTTCCACAGAGATAGTTCAAAAAAATCACCATGAAAATCTAACAGTCAGTCACAGCAACCATTCCCTGGATATTGCTTACAAAGTAACTTTTGAGCAATAATACTCTTCCTTAGATCATTGGCTGAAGCTTTGATTCAGCTTTATTTCTTTATATTGAATTGTATCATAAGACTTTTTAAGTTTAACAGCCAAGTAGATTCCTTAAATTTGAGGTAAAAAAATCAATTAAAATTAAACTATATTTTAAAAAAAGGAATATTTATATATTTTTAATTAGAGAAAGATATGTAAACAAACTAGTGTTTAATTCTAATAAACAAATATCTAGTAATATTCCAACAAAAAAAACATAATTTTATGTAATAAATCAAAACATTTTTGAAATGCTGAAAGGAAATATTTAGATTTACTTCAAATAGTAACATTGCCATTTTATGTTGGTTTATGTATATACAATATCCCCATAACATACATATCAAAAATACAAACTGGCACCTGATATATATAACCATTAACATTTGAGTTCCTATTTAAAACAATTTTATTTTAGAAAATATTCTTTAATTAACAAGTCATTTTTAAAACCTTTGAAACTCACCTTTATTTTTTAGTCAAGCCACAGGGTTACTTTTTGGTTTCCCCTTTTATGTAAATAGAAAAAAAAATAGAATTACTTCATTGTTCTGGGTTAATCTTGCAAAAACAAAACTGGATCCTGGTTAGACTTCGAACATATAACTACAGTAAAAGAGTAAGAAAATAAGGTCTAGAGTGATAGACACTTTTAATGCACTAAAATATTCCTCAAAAGCAGTCAATTGAATTTCCAGAATCATGAGCTCTATAGCAATCATGCTGCAACCTTTGTCGAGAGATGAGACCTCCAACCAAATGTCTCTAAAACTGTTGACTTAAGACCTAATTAAGGTGAGACCTGTTTGCAGAAAGCTGAAACTCTAGTTCCTAGACCATTTAAAGTCAAATGAACCTTTGAGGAAGGTGTTATAGGTTGAATTGTGTCCCCTAAAAATATGTATGTGCTGAATTCCTAAACCCTACTACAACAGAGAGTGCCCTTATTTGGAAAGAATCTTTATAGACATAATCAGGTTAAAATGAGGTTGTTAGGGTAGACCCTAATCCAATACGACTTATTAAAAGGGAAAATTTGGAGACAAGCAAGGAGACATGCAAGGAGAATGTCTGTGAACATGAGTACAGCTATTTACAGGTCAAAAAACTTAGAACAGATCCTTTCCTCACAGCCCTCAGAAGCAATGAACCCTGTCAATAGGACTTCCAGCCCTTAGAATGATAGATAATATTTTTCGATTATTTAAGCACCTAGTTTGTGGGAATTTGTTACAGAAGCCTTCACAAACTAATACAGAGGGCCTATAACAAGAAATAAATATTCCCAACTCAGGGAAGACTTATAGGAGATGGAGACTTGACTGATAAAGGAAATTCATAAATTCTTTCCACATTCCCAACCTGTGCTAGAATTAAAAGAGTGACCCTAGGACAAGAGTCAGCAAACATTTTTTTGTAATAAAGTTTTATGAGAATGCAGCCACATTTATTTATTTATGCACTGTCCTATGGCAGTATGGTCTGGACAGTATGAGTTAAGAGGAAGAAACCGAGACATTTCATTTCATTTATTTTTTCATACCAAATGTGAAATGAAACCAAATACAAAAGATGAAGATCTTCTCAAATAAAAGAAGCAAAGGCACTAAAAAAGAAAAAGGTTGGAAAAAGAAGAGTTGGTCAGTCTTGAAGCATTATGACTTAACCAAGATTTTGGGACCCACCAAAATGATGTGTTAATCAAGCAGAAGTTTATTTTGAAAAAGGAGAAATTGCAGTAAGCTGCGTGTCCTTTGTGAAAAGGCTTTTAAACTAAGAGAGAAAACCAAAAAAGACTATTGAGAAATTATAATGGCTTATGCCCAAATTGGCATCTCTTACTTCAAAGAAAAGAAATATGAATACTATCATTTTAAAAATATATATTTTAGAAGAACATCAAATCTTCTATATGTTAAAAAGTTGTCAACAGACAGAAAATACCCTAAAGAACAAGAATGACTGGTTTATGTCATTTTTGACTTGAATTTGGAAGAAAGAATAAATGCAGTGAATGTATTCATAAAGGGGATTCTCCCAAGGCCTTGAACACAAAATATTAAACAAGCCATCCAACAGAACCCACAAGATGTAGAATCGTGTAACAACCAGGCCACTGGCACTGAAACAGAAAGAAATATATTCTCATCTAGAGCTCAAACATTCTATATGTATTCTGGAAGACTCTAGACTTGAACTCTACCTGTAAAGAAGCAACAGGTGATTACCAGTAATGATTGATGTGACAATCAATAATAATTGACATTATTATGAATGGGAATACATAAGTCATTGTTGACCCCAAAGTCTAAAAAATAACTGGTATCCTAACCAAGGGGCTCCCCTTGGCACAAATGCAGAACAACCCCTAGACATTTGGGGAACACATGAAGAATCCTATATTTGAAGAAGATCCAGAAGCTGATCACAATTTGAGAATGCTGTGTTCAACTTATTTCTCTTCCTCCTCATATATGGAATATGAAAAGAGTTGTTGGCTTGCAACAGACTAAGGAATAGAAGGGAGAGAAGGGGAAAAGGAAAAATAACTTTGAGCCGTATAATTATAAACATAATATCTATGTGCATGATATAATCTTTGTACAGCAGCTGGCTGAGGGCCCTCTCAATACCATCAAGGGTCCTTTACTGCTGTCACTTGAGTTCTGTATCTCCTCCTCCACCCCAAGCTATCATAGCTATTATTTCTCAGGATTAGTTACTGACAGGGGAGTGGGGGAGGGTAGTGGGTGTACAGTAGGTATGAATGAAGGTAAGATGTGGTGCTTCCTACTTCAGGTACCAACTATCCTTCTCACATTGCTAACTTATTCTCTTTTCTCTAAAGAAACATTCCATTCTGGCAGTGCTGGCAGAGAGAAAGAGAGAGAGAGAGAGAGAGAGAGAGAGAGAGAGAGAGAGAGAGAGAGAACGAGAATGAGAGGAGGGGGAGAGGGGAGGGCTGGGGAGAAGGGAGGGAGAGAGAGAAGAAAATGAACCTGTAAAGAAAATAAATTTACAGGTATAGGGCCTGATGGAGATATCATACAGGTGATTGAATGAGTCTTAAGTGAAATTTATTTGACAAGCAGAAGTGTGAGAAAAATAAAGCTAATTCATAATGAACCATATCTTGGGCTGTCATGGAACAAGATAATTTAGTTTACAATTCTGCTTTTCTTTCACATTGAACACCTTTTAAAAAAATGACTTTCTAAATAAAAGCAACCCACTACCTATTTGTCTATAAAAGCATCAGCAATGAAAGAAAAAATAAGATAATGGTAATAAAGATCTGGGTTGTTGCCTCCTTATCCTAGATCATTGATAGGGCTGATACATCCAGAGAATATGTTTAGTTTTCAATATGTACTTATTTGAATGCTTAGTTGAAATTTGACCCATGATACACCAATTAAAAGCACAGAATTCTAAATAAAATCCTTCAATATTTGTTCTCTAGGTCTAAATGAATTGATTCATTGATTCAATATTTGTTCTCTAGGTCTAAATGAATTGATTCTAAATTGATTCATTAAGAACTTAATGAATCAATTTAAATGTGTGAACAATATTTACATCTCTTTTATTGGGTCAGGCTTAAGAGATGCAATAAAAAAGATGCACAGTATCTATAAAAGAGATCAGGTTGAAATTGATGGTAGGTCTTTAAAGAGCCTGGAAAGGTTTAATTAGGTAGCCTAAAGTAAAGACAAATATATTACCAAATGATTCGAATGAAATATCAGCCAGGGGTATATTTTTTCCCACAGAATTAAAAGAATATTTAGTAGAACAGAATTATAAATGTATGCATTTCTGGACTATATTTTAAGCACATCGATTAGCTTGCTGATGAAACTTCATTCATTGCATTCAGGGGAGAGTTGTAAGATAGACAAATCACTAAAGTTCTGATTTATTTGACTAAGTAGATATAGAGAATGATCTTTGTCTATATATGTTTTAATATTATATGTATATAGATATATAGAATGAGAAAAGGTAATAATTCGATATATCTACTTTAGATGTATAAGTGATCAATTAGATTTCTTTAAAGATTGCCATATCTACACCACCAATTAATTCAGAAGGTTAGTACTTGCCTAAATTCTGGTAACCTTCCACTCTGACTACATAGGCTGATATACTTCCTTTTTTTAATGCCTTTGGCTATTTATGATTGAGAGTAGTTGCTAATTTAGATTTTCTGGTGAAGGAAAATAAATATGAGCGATCTCGACAAAAGCTTCTATATATGTAAATTATATTTTAAAATATAAGTATAAAAAATTATTTTTTTTTCAGAGAACTTGATGTTATCCTTGGGAAGAATTAAGTTATTTATTATCCTTCTTGGAGTTAATCATATTAATTGTTTGTACTGGATTAACAATGCCAAATGGAAGAACATGAATTAATTTAATAAGCATTTTTTAAATATTTTCTTCTGTTTCAGTTGATTTATCTTTAGTGAATAAGGATGAAAATGCCATTTATTTCTTAGGACATTCTCTTGGCCTTCAACCAAAAATGGTTAAAACATATCTGGAAGAAGAACTAGATAAGTGGGCCAAAATGTAAGTATGATTTCAAAAGCTATCATTCAACATCGCCTGTAAAAATTTTAAAAATCACACTAGGTTGTCTAATATTTGGAAACTTATGTAATGAAATGCTGGAATTTTAGGGCAGAAAGGAACCTTAGCAACCATGTTTTTCAATACTCTCGTGTTGTTGATGAAATAACTGAGGATCAATAAATAAGGTCATATGGCAAGTTAGTGGCAAGAGTAAAATTTTTAATTGTTTAAAAATTTCAGTCTCTCTCCTGAGTTGTTACTTTTAAAATACATGTAATCATTTTATTTTATTTCTTTAATGATTTAGAATGGAGTTAACATTTATGATTTAATTTAGCCGTTTCATGATTAGTTCTTGGCTAAACTCTATCACACTAATTTTTATAAATAAAAATTGTGGTTTCTTTGGGTGGGGCAAAAGGTCTAATGGAGCAGAAGGCACATTTCTTCCCAAACTGAACATGATTTCTGAGAAGATTCTCCACTTGGGCTTAACTAAGCAGATTCACTCCAACAATGCAGAAATCTTAATTCAGGATCCATTCTTTTCTCTATTTCTTCTGTTCTAATTTTATCTTACTGCCTATAAACTTTTCATACTCTCTAATTACCTGAATGCTTACTCTCTTTAATCCCAACCTTTTCGACCACATTGATAGCCGTCTCAAATGTCTATTGCATTAGTGGTCAATTTAGAGATGTTTATTTTCATTAAGTTCACATTCTTAGTTGTATTATAAATCCCTAATCCTTTGTATATCTTATCTTTCCCCAGCAATTACTGATAAAGCTGAAACTAGAAACATTTTCAAAATATTTTTAACTATTTAAAAAATTTTATATTATTAAATATGTTTACACATTTATAATTTAAAAATAAGTAGAAATATTTTAAAAATATTTTCTAATTATTAGAGTCTGAAAAGTAGTTATTAAGGGGGAGCCAAAACTGAAAGTCAGGAAAATATTTTCGGAAAAAATGAAATTAAGCCATGTAAGAATTCTAAAGGTAAGACATTTAGCTCTAATAGAAACTCAGAATGTCTTCTCTGTCTTTCTTTACTCTTTATAACACTGGTCTTTCATATTGGAAATAGTACCTTTTTAAAAAAATTAGTTTACATTGACTCTGCAAATAACGACACTACTATTAAATAACTCTGCAAAGTTCTTAATTTTAGTTGTTAAAAATATAAGTTCACAACTTAATACAAAGTTTATATAACTTCTTAAGCTCATTATAACTTTATCTGCATAACTTTTATACATACATTGGAAAATAAATATCACTGAATTTGGGAGCATGTTCCAGTAGTAGGTTTCAGCATTTTAAAAATGAGGGCCATAGTTAATAAAAATGTTTAATATTCATTTCTGGCTTTAATGTAAAAGAGAACAGAGACTTAGATTAAATGAATTTAAACTTCAGAAAGTGTCCTTGCCTCTGTGCATTTTTATTATCTAGGCATTTTTAAAAATGCTGCTTTGCTATCCTATTCATATCCTTATGATTATCCTAATTATTAAAAGACTGATTGATTATTTTCAAGACTTTGAAATTATATTCCAGGAAAGTACCTCCCTGTCATAACACTTACTTTTCTATTACCATTACCTTTCAATTTTATATTTTACCTTGTGACAACAGAATATTACATAATCTTAAACTCTCCCCCCACCTATTTTTCATTAGACAAATGATTTGGAAAGGAGGTATATTTTAATTCTTCAAGCAGTATAAACTAAAAAGACTTCTTCTGAGAAAAAGACTAAGTAGCTGGTTTGTTTTGTTTTACTTAGTCTATGTTGTATTTAGCCTTCTTGCTTTGTGTTGGGGTAGCCCAGTCAACATCATGGCTGATCAGTGTCAGTGGTGTTTGAGGTGAGTGATTATAATCCTGTTCCCTCCTATCCCACCCCCATATTTGATCTCAAAAGAGTTTTTCATTATTTCTTTGCTCTTACATACATAGTTTAAAATCCTATTCTGGCCTTTTCCAGTTAAGGTTCTGTTGGGAGGAAAACTTTTCTTCTACCAATTTATACCCTTTGATTGGAGGTCTCTTAATTAATTAATGATTGCCAAATTAACAGGAGGAAAATTTTATTTTACTTGCATGCAGAAGCACTCTACAAGCAGTGGTTTACCGAATAGCCAAGGGTATAGGTTTATATACCAGCTTAACAAAAGGGAATAGTTTTAGAGCATCAGTAGGAAAGTATAGAAGGTTCCATTAGGCTTTTTCGTCCTAATGACAATGTGCACTATTATTCCTGGCTGGAAGCTCCCCAAGAGGGAGATTGATGGCAACTGAATTCAGAGAGTCATCCTCCCTCTGAGGGTGGGTCAATAGCAGCTGTATTTCCAGGGGGTTCTGCTTAAGTTTAGACACTGTTTCTTTCTTTGGCTGCTGTTTATTCACATGCTCCAGTTTAAAGTATTCTTCATGCCACTGTTACCCTTCCTGGCACACTGGGAACATTGAGGGACTTGGTCCTTTTCACCAATGCAGTAAAGAATTGCATATCAGCAAAGTTTAAGAAAAGCAAAATTTATTAAAGTATTTCAAGAAAGAAACAGGCTATGCCGGAGATGGCAGTAGCCCTGCAAAATTAGGGAGGTATACCTTATATTAACCCTTGATGGGTGGTTACAGGGGTAGTGCTAGATGATTGGCATGTGAGGTCAGTTGATTGACATTTAGCTATTATATAACCATTTGTCTATTGTGCGTGCAGTTACCCAGAATTCAGTCTGCTATCATTAGATTCATGAACTTCCGGACATATGTATGATATTATAATGCTGGTATAATGAGGCTACAGTCAAGGAAAGTCAGTGTATATACTAACTGCACGAGCACTTGGGACCGGACCAAATCAGCAGCTATTTCTGAAGTTTTTACTTCTTTGTGTTCCAGGATGTAAAGGTAATGTTTAACTATAAAACAAGTGTTTCAGAGAGGTCCTAAGGGAAGTCTCTGGATTGGGCCTTCATTCCCCCATTGCTCATGTGTATCTATCTACCTAACACCATTCTGGTGGGCTGTTGGTCCTCTTACTTCCCTTTCTGCTGCTTTACTTTTTGTACTAAATCTCCTCTGCATATGTTCAGTTTTCCTCTAGATCCAGTGCCTCCCATTATTTTGCTGTTTTATCTGATTGTCTGTTCCTCTTCACCTTCTCCTACCCAACTTTTGCCCTACTTCTTAGCAGATACCCAAGCCTGGCCAGTGCCTCTCTCTCTTCTTGACCAGTGGAAGATCTGAGGAAGGACTGAGTCAAAGAGAGCTACACAGCCACTAAATACTCTAATGCACATTGAAATTAGTTGCTTAACAGGAAAAAATAATATTAAAATTTTATAATATTAATAGTAACATAAAAATTAGAGTTCTTTCATTATGTAAGATATTGCTCTGATATATTGATATCAAGTCACTAACTGGTCATCCAGAAGATAAGAAATGCCATTTGGCTCATGGTTGTCATTTTCCAGTCTTCATCTTTTATGGCCTATTGCATACATACTACCTACCTATTATAAAGCAAACCATCACTGGTTATAATGCAACTTGATCTTATAATTCATATGATATCATCTTTGATTACTTATACTAAAGGAAGGTCAAGAATGGAGGCATACTTAGAAGTATTTTAGGATCTGAATCATTTCTTCCAAACTTCAAGTTATTTAAGTCAAAACTGTGAAAATACAGCACTTACCTTTGCGCTTTTTTAAAAGTGCTTATTATTTCCTAATATCATTTTCAACTCTGTGATTTCTAAAGCAGATTAATAACACTTTACTTTGAATACTACATTTGTGAAATGACAATATTTAGATAATATTCTAAAATAAAAAATATTTAGGATGATTTAACCCATTTGACATATAATGATAAATTTTCAGCAAAATAGTACTATAACAATAAATAACAAGATCAGTATGTGGATCAGTTGAATAGATAGTCTATAAGCTTAAAATTTTTTCTGAGAGCATCTTTTATTAAATATTTACTAATGGCTCATATTATTTAAAGGCAAATAGCATGGGTTAATAATCATGTTGATAAAGCTCAGCTAGAAGAGAAAGATATGTCAATCCTAAAGAGCACATTGTAAGCTGAAAAATGTCCCTAAGATATAATCACAATATTTTGGGTCTTCGGTATTGTCATATCTGCTAGATATAGTTTTCTTTTTCATAGGAGTAAAAATTTGTCATAATTGTGTCTTTACAGGGATTCCTCTAAGAACTATAAAATTTTAGGTAGGATTACTTAAAGAGAAAAACAGCCCACTGAATTACATATTAGGAGCAAACATCTGGTTTGCAGACAACGACTTACTTTATATAGCGTGTGCAGAAAGGGCACTGGTGAAACACCAGGGAAAGCTGTGCTGCTGCAGACACTGCATTTCTTTCAATTTAAATGATTATTTCTTTAAAAATATTCTCTGAGTGGGGAGGAAAGACTTTCCCTCTACTCTCTTAGGTCTGATAGCTGGACCTATGAAATAAACTGACAACAGGTAAATTAACAGGAGAAAAGACATACAAATTTATTAATTTTTAATATGTGCAGGAGGAAAAGAAAAATACCCCAAAATACCCAAAAATACCCAACCATCACAGGAAAAGAAAAAATAAATACCCAAAAAAGCAGTGAGATTTGAGAGCTTATATATCATCTTAATAGGGAAAAAGTAGGGAGATGTAGGCCACTTAGGAGAGAATGAATGAGTTTTAGGAAGGCTGATGGACCCTTAGAAGAATGGATACGGGGTAAGATAGTTTGTGACAGTACCGTCTGGGTGAGGTGTCGACTTATAGTCTCCTTCTGTGACAGAAGTCAATATTTCCTGGATGATGAAACTCCTGGGGAGGAGATTTAGGACAATGGAGTTTCTTTTGGAAGATCTGTCTTTAGACTGATAAGGGGAATTCAGAGACAGCCTCTCCCTGCATATGCTGTTTTTCAAGTGCCTATAGCTCAAAAGAATTCTTGTGTCATAGAGGAAAATTTTAGTGAGGCATATTCTGCCACCCTTCGAATAAGAAAGCAGATGGTATGACATGTTACAAAGATTTTTCTGAAATCTGTGTTATTTAATGATCTATTGGGTCACAGAAAAAAAAGTTGTGCTATCATGAAGGAATACTGTGAATTCTTATTTATCTACTTATTGGGGAGAGAGCTTTTAAAAGCAGAGCTACTTTTCATTTTGTAGGATAGTTAAAGTACAGCCCTATTTAAAGAGGAACCACATTTCTATTAAGCTCTTAATTAGATTTTATATCCCAAAATCTAATTTCATGAGCAAATACTGCTTCGTAGACATCTCAGAGAAAACTCCACTCATGGCAATGATTTATGCTATGGCAGAGAGTTAACTCTCTCCCATCCTCTCTTCCTTTCCAGTATTTGTAAATGAAGACTGCAAGTATGCTGTAATTATATTAAGCAGTTTTGAAGGAGAACAATATAGTGATTCTTAATACTAATATGAATGTTTATAAATGCACTGTGATCTACATTGACTTTTTCTAATGACAGGCTATTTTACTTTGAGTTTATTTGGTAATACTCTCTAAATACATTTCACTACCCCAGGCTAGTGGCATGACAAAATGAAGGAGCAGATTCTGTGTGTGATATATTAAAGGAAAGGAGATGCCAAAAGCATTGCAGGAAGAAACATATCCTTAAAGATTATTACTACTACCACGGTGTCTACCAGAGTGAGAAGTAGGTGGCATAATATTCCGAGATATAAATTCTCTGAGGCAGAACATAGAATTTTACTACCTAAATGTAATAAGATGTATTGTGCTATCAGCAAAGGCCATGGAGCTCTATGTGATTAAAATAAAAAAGGAGCCAAGTATCTGCCTTTAACTACCATTTAATGATAATGATTTCTGACTTTAGCATTTATATTAGAAAGTCAAAAAATGAAGCAAGCTGCAGGCTATCTAATAATATGAATAATAATAACTAACAATTGCCCTTCTCTTCCTCTTTAGTTCTTATAGTTTTCCTTTATTTTTAAAGAAAGTCCTCTTTCTTCATCTCAGTTTATATGGTAATTGAAATATTATTTTAAAGATTGTATTATATTCCACATGCCCATGAAAGGAGTGTTAGCCTTAGATTTACATTAAGAAAGAAGACTCAGAAAAGAGATACTGTATACCAGCCTTTTTTTACAGGTTATCTTATTTCACATCACGCCTTTAAAGTACATATTGTCACTCATTTACTTTTACAAAAGTGGAAAATTAGGTCCTATAAGCTTCTATTAATTATAGTCTCATAACCAGTAGTGAACTGGAACTGGCTCAGACCAGGTAATGAAAACCAATTGTTAAGTATTCATGATTTTTATCGATATGCTGAAATTGGCTACAATGGTAGTATTCACTTCACGAAAATAAGCAAGGGTTACAAAACCGGGCTCCTCTCCTCCAGTTCTTTTGCTGATAAAAGTAATTTCCCCACTCTTCTGAGTTCTTAGCTGAGACCACTATAATAAAAGACAGATTAACAAGAGAAAAACAAACAAGTTTATTATCATGTATCCCTCAGGTATACATGGAAGAGACCCAGGGAAAAATGAGTAACTATCCAAAGTGGCTTAGAATTCAGGATTAAATATCATCTTAATATGGAAAAGAAGGAATGAAGGCCCTTTGGGGAAGAGTAAATGATTTTTAAGAAAGATGAATAGACCCGTGAATAACAAATGAGAGGCATGAAGTTTGTGTCAAAGTTTGTCTAAGCATGGTGTTGACATCTAATCTCTTTAGTGGTGAGTCAATCTTATAAGAAGAGATGAAATACTCCATGGACCTTGAGATAATCATGCTAAGCGAAATAAGCAAGACAGAAAAAGTTGAAAATCACATGATATCACTTATATGTGGGATATAAACCTAAAAGCAACAAATGAACGAGACAAACAAACAGAGACTCATAGATATGGACAATAGACTAGTGGTTACCAGAAGGTAGGGGGAAAGGGGAAGTAGACGGAGTAAAAACGGTCGAATAAGTGGTGACAGAAATCTAACTATAGGAGATTTTATATCACATATTTAGATTGCATATTAACAATGTAAACATATATATGCCCTATTGTTAGACGTACAGCTGAAACTTATCGTATTTCATTAACCAATGCCACCATAAAAATAAATTAATTTAAAAAAAGAGTCAATCTTCCTTGATTGATGAAATTTATATATAGGGGATTTACAAAAATTGAGTTTTTCTTGGAGGGTCTGTTTTTAAGCAGATAAGAGAGTTTAGAGAAAGACTTTCCCTGAATTTGATGTTTTTCAAGTCCCTACAGCTCAAGATAATATACCACAGAGACATATTATAGGGTGGCATATTCTGCTACCCTTTACCTCTGAGAACAGGTTCACCCACTACCAGTTTACTGAATTTCAGAGCATGGATTCACAGTTTGCACTATACCAAAAACACATGGTTACCTTCTTTCCAAGTTTACATAGTTTCTGAATTCCTAAAGAATTAAGAGCAATCATATTCAGAGCTTCCTAAGATACAAGTTTGTAACAGCTCCCCTTTTGATCCTTTATTTAGTTTCTTCTATATTTTTCAAATGTATTTGCCTTTCTTGTTTGGTGGAAACTTTTTGAAAGTTTAATTCTCTTATGTATTTTATGTTTTTCCATTATGCCTACTGGGATATTTACTAGAATAATGAAATTAAGCTATAATATGATAGATGAAATTGCTAGAAAATAGAGCAAGATGTAGTATTGGCTTTGATTATTGCCAAGTTTATCTACTTAAAATGTCATCATGACTATAGTTACATTTTATATACTTTTATTTAATTTATAGATTATAGCAATGTATTAAAATTGAGTTTACAAGCAGTTTAATCTCTAGCCTCAAAAAATAGGTATGTTTTAGTATAGATACTCTATATGTTACAGGTATACAAGAAGAGTATTCATATAGTGTTGACATTTTCAAAATCAAAGAGAAAAAATAACAGCTTAGATTTTAAAAGATAATAATAATGAAGTAGTATATGGGTAATCTTCCCTAATCTTCAACATAAAAGAAGTCAAAGATATTTAAAAATTACAAATTAAAACACAGAGTTCTTAAGTATTACTTTTGGTTTTAGAAAGCATGCTTTCATATAATTAGCAAAACATTACACAGACTAGAAATGTCCAGTTGCTAATGTTTATATTTAAAAAATCATGTGCATGTGCATACTCTCACACACACACACACACCCTCCACACACAAGCTAAGAATGTTTATGTTCCTTTTCAATTTCAGGGGAGGCTATGGTATTGACGTAGGGAAACGTCCTTGGATTATAGGAGATGAGACTATTACAGGCCTCATGACTGACATTGTTGGTAAGTACAAAATTAATTTTTTCCAAAACAATTGTAAAGACATTATTATTTAGTTATAAATGTAGATTATACGGTCAAAATCTTGTTGAAGAATATCCTGATTTTCTTCTATTTTAACCAATAAGAGTAAAGAGCTAGCATACCTTTATTTGAGACTTGATTGCTACAGAGAACATGATATTGTGTATTTTAAAATTAATATTTATTCCCCAATTAAAAACATAATCATTTGTTATAATTAAACAAATTTCATAAAAATCAACTTAAATTTCTAAGATTTCATTATATGGTAAAATAAACACTTACTTTCATATGCTAAAGGCCTAAAACATCAATCATTTTTTGTCTCGTTTCAAAGTAATTCTTGGTGATCTATTTAAAACTAGGCTGAGCATTGTCGAAAATAATATAGTTTATGCTTTTTTTTCGGTCTATAACGTGTTTCTTAAAGTGAATGATTTGTACTCTTGGCGGTACTCGAGCTAGTTTTAGAAGGTAAATGTGTTAACATTTTGAAAAATAATTATTTTTTTGAGTTGAACAAATATTCAATATTGCCAGAAATCTTATATGAAATTTAGAATATTAAATACAAAAAATAATGACATTTAAGAGTTGGAGTGGTATTATTTGGAAATAAAAGGAGGACTTAGGAAAACTCTAACTTTCAAAATGGTTTTCATACCTCACTCTCTTATAGGCGTTTGTAAAAATATCTTTATTGTTTCACCCCAATTGTATCCTGGCCAGTAATCAGGATCTGGAGGGAAAATAGAATTAGAGTGAAGAAAGTAGAATTTACACCCAGAAAGAATTATGGCAATTGACAATCATGAAAATCTAGGGAATATCTCATTTGTTAAAAAAATAATTATTGAACTCCTGCTGTGTGTCAGAACTTGTGGTAGACACTAAAGATAAAATCCTTACCAGCCTCATCCTCATGAGACTCCCATTAAAGATACAAAGAAATGTAAAATTAGTATATACACATCATCACATAATACAAAGAAATATAAAATTAATCATTGAGATTAGTGCTTCAAAAAAGAGGCAATTTTCAATTAATGATGGAGGACTGAACACAATCAGTTAAGCACTCTTTTTTTTAAATGTCACTAAACTACTCTTAATAGAATTAGAAAAAATAATGTGTAACCCCCAAAAGACAAATAGAATGGCAAAGGAAATGATAGCAACATTTTGGGAACTGAATAGCAAGCAAACAAACATTAAGTGTCTCTGTTTAAAAATAAATAAATAAATAAGCCAACCAAATTCTAATCACCCATTGATGGGTGAAAAATAAACTGCCACTTGCTTTACACTACAGATCTCTCAAAAAGCTTGGGAATTACTCCCAGTAAGCAGCTCTGGAAGTGAGAGTGAAGATAGCAATAAAAACAGAAAGATTTGTTTTTGAAAGTCTGATTAAAATGCAGTTAGAGTACCAGATCCCCTTGTTTATTTCATGCAGCCAGGTGAATCCTTCCCCACCCTGCTCAGGAGACAACTGGGTGAGTCCGGAGAAGGGAGAAGAAAGGCTCTCAGGGAAGGACACACAATATACTGTCTCAGTCAGCCTGGGCTGCCATAACAAAGTACCACAAACTGCACGGCTTAACAGACATTTACTTTTTCGCAGTCCTGGAGGGAGGCTAGAGGTTCAACAGTGGTCGGTTTCTGGTTCGGCCTCTTTTTCTGGCTTGTAGATGCTGCATCCTGTGTCCTCACATGGCCTTTCTTCTGTGCACCTCAGAGAGAAAGAGATCTCTAGTGTGTCTTCTTCATCTTATTGATTGCCGGTCCTGTCAGATTAAGGCTTTACCCTTATGATGTCATTTAACCTTCATCACTTCTGCCATATTGACGATTAGAGCTTCAACATACAAATTTTGAGAGGATACAATACAGTTCATAACATATTCCACAGTGAAAACAAAAGAGTTAAATAAATGTTTATCTTTTGTTCTAACTTAGACCCCAGAAACCATGCAGGAGACTGGAAAAGTCTTTGTGGTATTTGGACAACCTAAATAAAGATTCTGACATGCGTTTTCCCAGTACAATGATTCAATAATGTCACTTTACATCAAACCCCAACACATGTATAAAGAACACACTCATGTTTAAAGCAGCCCAAATTAATGGACTTTTAAGGAAAATTTATTTTTAATTTATTAACTATATGAATATGTTACCTATTCAAAATGTTTAAAAACAAAAACGACTTTATAGAAGGATTGCAAGCAAAAGCAAGAGCTATTTCCTACTACTTATTATTGAGTAATCATTACACTGTATACATTTCTGTTTTATATGATTATATTATAGGATCATAATGTGACTTCTAGTTTGAGATAGCATGATAAGTACAAACTAAAAATACTCCCTTCTATTTCAAACACAGAGAAATAATAGAAAAAATAAATTTACAAACATATAGTAACATTAAAAAAATAGAAATTTTTCACAGACCAGAAATATAGCCATTGCTGAAGAAAGGAATGGCTGGAAGCATAGAAAGGCAGTATTTTGGGGGCCGCACATGCAGCCAGGTCGAGTGTGTAGGGCCTGAGTCCAGGACTTGCCCACGAAGCCCCAGGGCTAATCTGCTTGGCTTTGGGTACCTGGGGCTGGGATTCGGAGCCAGAATTTTTGTCTGCTGGGGCAGGTAAAGGCGAAAACCGAGCATCTCCTGACAGACCAGTGAGGGCACACAATGCTTGATGAGGCTGTCAGCATTAGTTAGAGGAGTGTGTATTTATTGGAGAAAATAACGACTTAAATAATCCTGGATTGAGTTTAAAGGTGTGCTAAATAGTTGTTTAATAATGCTTTCGTTTGTCTTCACTTTTTAGATGCCACTAATATTCATTCAAATGTCTAACATGTAAATAAAAATTTTGAAAAAAATCCTGGATTAATTTGACCTGAGGATATATATTTCCTTAGTTGTAGGTCTTATTTTTTTCTTTCCTGAGTTTGCTTTCAGAATATCAATTTTATTCTAATCCTGTTAATTTGTTCTTAATATTTATCATTCTCTAAAGAAGAGTTTGGAGGTTAATATACAGGCCAGGGAGTGGTAAGGTGATATTATTTAGTGAGATTTATTTATGAAGCAAATCAATCCTGTAAAAAGACTTCTTTTGACATTTAAGAGCTTATACCTCTATTGCTACTTATTAAATGTGCACGTGTTTTGGTGCCCGATAAATACATATACGTCACAATGATTCCTAAAATTTCAAACCAGCCACCTTTCATTATCTTTAATAAAGAAAATTAAAAAAAATTAAATATCCAAATTGGATGGATAAAGAGACCGAACATATTTAATTTTTTAAAGAATACTTATTAACTCTAGCTTTCAGAGGTTTTGTTTGTCTTTGAAATACCATACAAAGTTATAACACATATGGAACAAATTTCTTTTCATTTTCTGTGTTTTTATCATATTTCATTTCAAAATTGTCAATGAATGAAGGGAATCTAGTTTAATGGTTATTTTATTGTTTGTTTTGTTTTCTACAATTCATGTTTTATCAGGGAAAATATTTCTACTATTTGTTGACCAAAGGAATAAAAATTGACAGTGTCTGAAAAAGTGTATTATAGGCAATATTTTAAAAGTTTGCTATTTTTCTTTAAATTTTAGCAACTATAACCCCCCAAATTTATTTATTTTAAAAATTATATATATTAGTCAGAGAAATGTTTCTTAAGTCGAGTTGAAAAATTAGAGTTCACTGTTTGCTTTAGTAGAAACATTCTTTTAGAAGATGTTTGTGTGTGTATTTGTGTTTATTTTCTTGGTTACAAATTCCATTCAGGTTCCCTTTTTGCCCTAGTTGCTAGGAAGTTCTAAGAAAATTTGGTCAAGTTTTAAGTAGAAAAACACTTAATAGATTCTAATTTGTTTCTCATCTGCATATATTGTACTCTGTACTTACTTTTTATCATTTTCCTCACGTGGTAATATAAGAAACCTGAAATCCTCTTTGAAAGTAGGCGTGCTATAAATCATAAAATAATTAAAATAACTATATGACAACTACGGTAAAGAGCAGTAGAAATCATATTTATTTTTGCTACTTTCTAAGCTATCTAATTGTGTTATGAACAAAAAGATAACTTGTATATTTTAGGCTATGATTGAATCTTACAGGTTCTTAAAAAACACAGCCTTTATTTTACCATAAAATATCTCAAGAAGAAGTAACAGGAGAATAATAAAAATTACTATGTGTAAAATTGGTAGAGTGGATAGAGAGAAGGAAGAGACAATAAGCAACGATATTTATTCATGGACACAGAAAAGAATTTAAATTTTAGATGAGAAGAAAAGCTATTAAGAAAACATTTTATAGAGAGCCAACAGTTCTGCAAAACATAAAATAACTTTCTCTTATTAATTTCATATTATCACGATGCTAGAAATAGAATTGCTGAAGAGTATTATTAGCATTATTATTAAACTTACTTCTCCCTGGGTACATAAAAATCACAAAGGGATAGATACATGCATTCTAGCTTATAAAAAATTGTAATGTGAACATAAATTTGCTTTATGAAATTTGTGGTTGACCCTCGGAGAAGCAATAATCCCTGGAAACGCTCTCTAAAGAGTTTTCAATGCTCAGCCATACAGTAGCCACCTCTATAAGCCAAAGAAATTTGCTATTTGAAAAATAGAGTGGAAAGTTTTTGGACTTTGCCTAACTACAAACCTTATGACCATATCCACAATAACATTTGCATCTGCTTAATAAAATGTACAGAAAATAGTATGGCAGTTGGAAGACCCATCATGAATCTCGTTATCAAATGCTAAGCAGCTGGGGGCTCTGTCATCTTCACTTTACAATATATTTGAAATTACAATTAGATGCAGAGGGAATTTGTTGATAAACATGGACCTCCTATATTTGACTTACAGGGAGTAAGCAGATAATGTAGACAACTCTTCCAAATGTAATTTGAACAAAAGATTTTAATTATTTCTTTTTTTTTTCTACAAGAGAGTAAGTTTTTGCCTACTTTCTATCTGCAAGACTTTAGGCAAGTCAATTCATCTCTTTGGACATCAGTTTCTTCATTGATAAAATATGGAAAATCAAAGTAGATACCTTATCAGGTTACTGTGAAGACTACGTGAGATAATACAAGTCATATATTTAGAAGTATTGGCACATCATAAAGGTTCAGTAAACTTTAGCTTGCCAGACATTAGACAAAAGGGCAGAGCTTGCATCTAAGTAAGTTTCACCTTCTGGTAAAGCAAAAAATTATGTTCGTTAAGTAAATAATCAGGAAATCACTCCTCAAATGAGAGTCCTGGCTCACACTCATCTCAGGTGAAGTGATTCAAATCTTGGCATTTATTGCAATGAGTTCTGATGACCTTTAAAGTAAAGACTCTTTCAAAACCCGATAATATTTCTGGAAGTTTTTTTTTTTTCTTTTTAATTTGCTCCCCAATACTTATAGTTCTTGATGTAGCAACATTAATTTTAAAAAAGTTCTTAGGAAAAAGAAGAGAAACAAAGAAAAACAACATGAAAGAATTTCAGTTTACTTTTTTTTAAAGGTTTGTTTTCTTGTGGAATTCTGATATTAAAATACGTTGGTTTCAGAAATAGAAATTGAATTAAAAGAGAAGAAAAATGGGTAACTTTTCTTTTAAAAATACACTAAAAATTCGTCTGACTTATAGCACTTTGAAGTGAAAAATACTTCATTATTTGGTGCCTTTAGGTTATATTTAGAATAAACATTTCAATTAATGTTCTATAACTTTAATATTAACACCACTCTCAGATACTCATGTGTGTGCATGTTCACACAATAGATTGACCCAGTCTTTGATAAAATTCAGTAGCAGATGAGGAGAGCATTTTGTGAAGCACTTGGTGGAATTTAATTTAAAGTATTCTAATGTGAAATAATTTTTGTGCAAGTGGTCAGACAAGCCATTTGAGGCAGCAAAGGATTATTTATAAAGAATTGGTTTGGTGTTAGCACGCCATGGAATGTGAGGGGAGAAAAGCACAATGCCAAGTGTGTCTCTACATTAATTCAGCCCCATACATCTAGTTCATCACATGTCCATGCAAGAGAAAATTTAGGTGATCCCAAATGAATGCTGTACTGTTGAGAGGACTAAAATTTTCCAGGAATCTATAATCATTTTAATCAGAATATAAACATTAAGCAAAAATAGAATGTCTGAGCTTCTATAGAAAGTCTCCCTTACCCCTTTCCTACTCTTTCATTTCTTTGTTTTCATTTTGTGATAACATGTTTTCTTTTTATTTCTTTTCCTCATTATAGTACATTCTTTCAAATGATTCCCTTTCTAGTAATTCTGCTCACCCTTATATTACGTTTTCTTCCTTTCCTTCTTCCACTCTCCCTGCCAAAGTATTTTTTATTAAAATAAATGGTTTTCAGAAAAGATGCACATAAATAATTAACAGAATAATATCAGATTACATCTTAGATAATTTTTGTCTTATAAATAACAGTAAAAACTTATACTATAATGCAAATAAATAAATAAAATAAAGTTGGTATAATTTATTTTACTATATTTCAAAAAGTTATTTTTTTATATTGTAGAAGACATATACCACTGTATAAGTTTTTTGTATTCATATCTATCTAGTATGTTTAAGAGAAATCTTACTTAGTGCTAGGAATATAGAATGAGATTGTTCCTTTCGCCACTTAAGTTCAGATACTGTACACCTTATAATGACCACAGATACAATCACCACTTGTTTACTTGCCTTGCACATTAAAGAGTAAAACCCATCTGCCAAATGCAACAAGAAGGGTTTTTTGTTTGTTTATTTGTTTATTTTTTGACTAGATAAAGACAAGGGCCCTTCCTTAAATGGCTATGTTGAAATCTACATTCCTAAGTTGTACACTTATTTCCAGTGGCCTCCCCTCAAGTCAACTTATCCTAGAATCTATGAATTAGGTTAATTATTCCATTTACTGTCTATTCTTTTAAAATGGGACTCTAGCAAAAGTATCTCTGTGGATACAAATGTCAGACTTGTATTATACATTTTCCTTAACACTTAGTACAGCCTCACAAACATTAAAGCTCATAGCCCAGTTTCCTCAGTGATGGTAAAGAAACATTATTCTGATTCGCCAGTCTAATTTCCTTTAAAAGAAATCATAAGAACTAAAAATAGGGAAAGTAATATTATTATTGTTATTATGTGCTGTGTTCTTAAGTGTCCAATGTCTGCTTTTCTCTGGGTCTATTTCTAGTACCAAAATCTTCCGTAATAGGAATTAGATCAGGTTATAATTGTGTAGTGGGTATCTTAATTTTGCATATTTTCTCCATCAGACAATACATATCTATATTTTCTTACATTAATGTGTATGAATAAGCCCCAGATCTATTTAGCTATTTGTATTTTATTCTCTAGCTCTTTTGTCTTATAAGCTATTATATATCTTACTGTAATAACAATGAATTATGTTTGGCAAAGTAGCCTTCTTTTAGGTGCATTTTAATTTGATGTTAGAAACAACCAACTTTAAAAATGTTATTGGCCTTCATTTCTTTCAAGTTTTCTTTTGGAAATACACTTATCACAAAAATGTGCTCTGTGGGAATTTGACAAACTTGCTGATGCTAGTATAAATCATTTTTAGTTTACAGGAAAAAGCAAATGCTTCATTATTTTGTTGTTATTGTTTACTAAATTCAAAAGGAAATATAATTTTTAGCTAGCTATGTGCATATAAGTCCAAATATCATTTGATAAAATGAGTCAAGTGGGAAAACTTCATTTCTTTATGATGACATATCAAATATGCCCTTATCTCTAAAAACATTAAGAATGAAGGAGTGACATCACCCCACTTTATTTTTCTAAGTATCTTTACCGCTAATAGAAAAATTTTAATAATGACATTTCTTTGCAGGAGCCAATGAGAAAGAAATAGCCCTAATGAATGGTTTAACTGTTAATTTACATCTTCTACTAGTAAGTTACCTTTCCCACTAATGTTTAATGTACAGTCAATTTACAGAATCTAAAATTTTTCTATCTTTAATTCATGAGCATTTAGTGGTTAACTTATTTAAAATAAATTGTGAGGTTATTTTCACTTTTACCAGTAAATGCTGGACCATGATAGAATGGCTTCTTCATAATCATGATAGAGTTGACTCTTGCAAAGAGCTTTAGAATAATGAAGAGCTCTTATCACAGAACATAAAAGAGTCATAGTGGGTAAAAAAGCAAAATCGCCTGCAAATACACAAAACAGTGTAGAAACGCTAGCAAATACCGAGCTTTTCAGTTTTTCAATGTGCTGGACTATAGCAGGGTAAGATTATGGATCACTATGTTTTTGTAGGTTAATTTTGGGAGATTAAGTTAAAAAATTTGAAAATAAAATTAAATTGGAGGAAAAGAACTTAGTACCTTAAATGACTTGTTTAAAATGATTCTTACATTCTAAGTATTTAATAAACGTTTATAACTTAAAATAAATATATTCTTGATTTGGAATATGGTGATTATAGTAATTGCTTGATGCTTTAAAAAATGTTTATTTTTTAAGTAAATTTTAAAAACATGTCTAGATGGCCAAGATACACAATGAAGATTTTATTTTATTTTATTTTATTTTATTTTATTAATACAGAGGCTGTTTGGCACACATATGTTATTTTATAGTTCTTTAGGTCTTCAATTTCCAAACCTGGCTGACCAGCAAATATTCTCTGGATTTCTGTTAACTTGAATTCTTCTTATTACTCCAGCCCCTTTATTTTATTTTATTTTAGTAAAATGGAAAAAATGATTTTTAAATATTACTGAAGAAACATACTTGTGCAGTACACTAAGTATCATGATAAACAACATAGTTTTAAGTTCAGACACCCCTGGATTTGACTCTCAGCTGTTATTTAATGCTGTTTGACTTTGGACAAGTTTTTTGGCATTTCTAAATCTTATTTTTCTCCTCTGTAAAAACGAGGACAAAATACCTACCTTGTAGGTATGTAAGAGTATGAAATGTAATAATATGTGAAAATTATTTTAGCATCCAGGTTGATGACCAACACCAATTAACAGTAGCAGTCATTTTCCTTGTTATCATTGTCGGTCTCATTCTGTAGGAAAAAATAAAAAGATCCCTCTAAACAAATGAGCCACTTCTCTCTGTTGCCTCTAGAAATGTCAAATATTTCATGTTAGGGCTAAGGTACTTTTTGTTGCACCTAAAATAAAATCCCATGAAATAATAAAGCAGTGGAAATATTATTTACTAGAAACCAAATTGGCAGTGCAAGATAACTCATTATTAATAAGACATACATAAAACATGAGCTTTTCAGTCTTACAATAAAGAAATTGCCATTAAGTGCATTGGGAAGATAGTTTTTCAATTAAAATTTAAGTAAAGTTTGAGAATTTGTATTTATCTGATTTCCATTTTCTCCTGAATTTGCTTCTCCATCAATAAATGTAATGAGCCGATATCATCTTCTTCTTTATAATTCATCAGAAACAAGGCTAAATGGAAAGGGTACCTTTGACAGACATCTAGATTTGTAATTAATTAATGCCTTTAAATGCTGGAGATTATAAAATAAAAGTGTGGCGTAAAACAAATAAATGTAGAAATTGTGCATTAATGCTTTTCTCAATAAATCCATTTCATTACAGTTATCGTTTTTTAAGCCTACACCAAAACGGTATAAAATTCTTCTAGAAGCCAAAGCCTTCCCTTCAGATCATGTAAGGATTCTTCAAATTATATTTACATTCTTTCTGTTCTTCCCAGAGGAGCATATCATTTTTCTGACTTGAATATTTATTCACTAGTCTTTTCTCAATAACCTCAGACTAAAAAGATCTGTCAAATGCTTTTGATTTAGGCATTTAAATAAATAAAGTGTAGCTTTATTTCTTTTGTTCAAGTAAAACATGTGCTGAGGAGGAAAGAATTGAATAGGAACATTGATTTATTAGTCTTTTTTAACTGCATTGAGCAAATTACTGGTCTAAATCAAGTGCAGTTATAATGTTTTGTTAATTCTTGTTATTTTATTTTATGAAATCAAATCGATACATGCCCCAGTGCTAACCATTTAGCTACAGAGAATAGAAATATAAACTTTTATTTGTCCATTTGTTTTTATAACATGCTAGCATAATTACTGGTGCTTTAGTATTGAAAAAAATATATTTATAAGAGATTAAAAATATTTCTCATGGATCACTAAAAAATTCATGCTATTTTTCAGCAATTCAGTCGATAAGAAATTTGATTGTTCTAGACATGGACACATAAAACTATATTGCACGTTTCAGTTTTAGTGTTAGAGAAACCTGATTTTTGTCTTTATATTATCACTGTTAACTATTCTAGCTCGCATCTTGTAATTTTAAGGCATTTCATTATGTCCAAATTAATAGTCATTATCTTACTAAAAAGGATTGAACCTTAATATCTTGAAAAAAATTCAGAGCCCCCATAATTGCTTGCTATCATTCACATCTTGTACTCTCAATGAAGGGAAATTTTTGGTGTTCTTTCCTTGTACTAGCTTACTCTTTCTAGAGTGAGTCATTTCTATATTCTAGTTCAAGTCTAGGAAGTCCATACTATTCACCTTGGAATTTTGTAAACTCCGGTGTTGACTTATATAGGTGATTTAATATTTAACTAAAAAAAATCTCTTGTAACTCCCTAAAGTCTAGATGACTCCTATGTTTCCATTTATCTCTGATATTTAGTGTTTCAAGGAATATTCAGATTCTTGTATGCAAATTATATTAAACATTTCTTTTCTGATACATTATTTAGTCAGTTTTAATCTTGACCTTGAATTTTATATCATAAAATATTTTTATTCTTATTTTATTATTTATTTTCAGACCTATTTCAAAGTACTTCTGTGCATTGGACTTGATTTAATAAATCATCTTTCTTTTCCAGTATGCTATTGAATCACAGCTTCAACTTCATGGACTTGACATTGAGAAGAGTATGCGGATTATAAAGCCAAGAGAGGTACATGTGATAGAGAAATAAATAATAAACATTCAACATGCTTCTATTTGTATTTTTTTTCCTCATTTTTCTCAAATGTTTGTTATCTTTATTACTTTAATGGAATTCTCAAGAAAGTATAAAAGACCTATACTTCTGTTACTAGTAGGTCATTTTGCTTAAAATGGAGCATTAACTCAGAAGTGCATTTTCATTTTAAGGCTAATCATATTATAAGCAAATTGTTTTTCTGTTAACAGCACTAGAGTCTGCTATACCCTTCATTGGGATGGGAAGAGATGACAAATTACATATATCATTTTCAATTTCAAATGCCATTGCCTGTGGATGCCATAAAAATTGTATTAAAGACTGGTGATATTTGTTGAAATTGCATGATACTTATCTTTTATGTCTTAATATAAGTATCAAGTGTTTTCCTTTGAGCTTAGACTAGAGTATAGAAAGGGAAGTGGTATAGTGGAAAAAGTTTGGGCTTTATACCTGGCTAATATATACCCTAGAGAAATCCCAGACTCACAACTTTCTGGGACTAAGAGACTTTGGGAAAGTCATTTGGTCTCTGTGATTCCTTCATCTTTAAATAGATAACAAAGGAAATACCTCATCAAACTTGACCTATGTTCAAAGTCTAAAACACTGCACAATTTACATTAATAGAGATATAAGACTACGTTGTATAAACTTTGACATCTAAACCCTGAAACTTGTGAAATATCACACCAAGAGATCCACGCAGAGTAAATTTTAGGTTTCACAAATGATGCTCCCAGGCTGTTAACTCAGTGTTTGAGGAATTATTTCTTTCAACCCAGAATACTTTGAGAAATTAAAATCTACTTCATTCACTTTTATTTGCCAAAATGTAATAAATCAATGAAGTAGAAAGTTCTCACACCTGTGAGAGGATACCTTTTTTATAGGTCATATATAAATTGCTAATTTCTAGCAAAAATGAATATAGTCACTGACATACTACAAGTCTTAATGTTAAAAGTGACAAGTGTTGTGGAACCTCATGAGTTAATCATAATCTTGGGAGCATTCTTCATCACTACTAGATTAGCACAAGTCAACATGAGAGAGGACTATATCTTACCTTTAAGAAATATATTTCTTATTTGCTTAATATTGAATTTCTTAAAGTTCTATATTAAATGTTAATATATATAGTACTTTCCCTAATGGTTTTTTTTTTTTGAAATTTTGGTGGACAAATCATATTAGATTTTTCTAAGAAAAATTTTTGAATTACCATGTTATTTGTTTTACTTAGACTTTTTCTTAGAATTACCGAAATCCTTTCCTTCATACATAAAATGTACATCACTTAATAATTCAGAGATTTTAATATTAATACTGTTTTTATAGATTCCCATTTTGTAAACAAGTTTCAAGCTTCTAGTAGAAACTAGAATATTTGTGATATATATGTAATATATGCCGAACATGGGACACAGTAATTGACAAGTAACAAGAATGATCAACAATTAAAAATAACTGAAGAAAAATTTATAAATGCCTTAATGAGCTTCCCTCAAATATTAATACATTTAATGATGGTTTGACCTCAAAATCATGTTAGATTTATCACTGGAAAAAATTCATGAGGACTTAATAAATAAATAAAAATTGTTAGGATACAAGAAGATACTTCATATTTAACAGATATCTTTTTGCTCATGTTGTTTGCAAGACCAAACCTAAATTTATTCACAATTTTTACTAAGTAACCAATCATTAGTCTTAGGTGAGAAGATGTGGAGAAAAATAATTGAGTTTTATTGATATTTTTCTTCATGTTTGGGCCTTGATCTTTAAATTGATGTGGAAGAGGTTTAATTCTTAAGTTAACAGGAGGTATTGGTTAGGTTGTATTCAGATGAAAGATGCATAGATGTTTTTATTCTGCAAAAAACAACATGATATTAGATTGATAGGTGAAATGCTAATTTTTAAGAAATTGTTCTTGCCATTTAATATTTCATGGACTTGTACTTTCTGATATTTTATTGGGTGGAAATAAAGAAGAAACAATTTATAAGTATATAAATAGTAAAGATTAATTGAAAAACTGAAGAGTAAGTCAAGTAAAGTTTTGCAAAGACTTAATTTTATAAAACTCTAGTATTTTATTATCAGTACCTAATAATAACAAAAAGCATGCTCAAATGCCACTCTCTTGCCAGATTTTTGAAGATCATTGATCTGAAAAAAATTATCTTTGATTTTACTTATGGTGAGAAAGAGCTCACGGTGAATTTTAGATTGGGAAATATGAAGTGAGAAATTTAACATTGTGGATATAAATGTAACTTATGCCTAACTCTACTTTAGGGAGAAGAAATCTTGAGAACAGAAGATATTCTTGAAGTAATAGAGAAGGAAGGAGACTCGATTGCAGTGATCTTGTTCTGTGGGCTGCATTTTTATACTGGACAGCTCTTTAATATACACGCCATCACACAAGCTGGGCAAGCAAAGGTATGCACTTCATTTGCTCCTTCCCACCTCATCACAAATATCACTCTACTGAGGAGTATTTGAACTTCTAGTGAAATATCTTTGTTTGTGCCTATGTAAAATTACTTAAAGAGTTAAAAAAAAAAAAGTGTAAGCTTTACACTTAAGAAACCTGTACTCTTTTTTGCCTTAAGCTATTTCTCTATTTAAACCTCTTTTTATCAATTCTGTAGTCTCACCTACTTACTAGTGTCTGTTTTCTCAGTGTTTACCTCTGGTCGGCAGGACAGGTGAGCTTCCAGTAGGTGATGTCATTGGTACTGAGCTGCTCAGTCAGCAGGACACAGGCAGAATATTTAGGATAGTAACTACATGTTAGGACTGTTAGAAACTCAAGTCTGGTATTTTGTTATACTATATCTCATTTTAATATAATTCAGTTCTCACTTAACCCTAGGTACCTGAAGAAGGAGAGGTGCAGAATAAAAGTTGATCAGTAGATTGAGTTTCACACAGTTTATTTTAAGGAAGCTATTTTTTCCCCAAGAATCTTAAGAAATTATTATACTTCCTATAATGAGAGATTTCCTTACATATCACTAAATCACACTTAAATTGGTTACCATTTTGAAATCGTGTCTCTTTATATGTGTATTTGTAAAACACTGATTTTAATATTTGTCTGGAAAAAGAAATTAGAGAGGAGCAACAGTCAACAGTGACAATTTGGATTTAAAATCCTTAACTAACAGTTCTATTTGAATCAGCAATCAAGTCATGTATTTAAAAGATGACCATCGAATTTTGTTCTGAACATTAATAAGTCATGGGATTAATGTATGTGTGAGGTCTAGTTAATATACTCAGTTATTGAAGCTAATGAATGGAACTAATGAAAAGAAATTTAGCACCATTATCAGCAGTCTCTAGGAATTTGCAGCCATGACTTCCAACTGATTTGATGGATAACTGTGAAAGTGGTACATTCAAAAGATATAAAGATAATATCTTCTTAATTTAGATATTAAATGTTAAGCATCAAAATAAAGGGAAGCCAATAAAAAGTCATATTTTAAAATGTTATGCAAGTAATCAGCAGTCTCTGAATCCCTCAGTATACATGTACGTCTCATTAACCTTCATAGAAATGAGGCAGGAAGATAGAGGAAAGACGGCGGGTTTTGGAATCAATCATACAATCTGAGGTTCAAATCTTGGCTACATAATTTAATTGTTATATGATCTCAAACAAGTTGCTTAACTTTTCTACGTCTCTTTTTAAAAGTGTTTTCTTTGGCGGGGATAACAAGACCTGGTTCATAAATTCAATGTAGAGATAAGAGTATAAAATATCTACTGGAGTGTACAGATTCTGCTGTTAAGTGATACTTGCCTCCTCTGCCTTCTACTGTCCAATAAATATGCAGTTATAGAAAGTGACTCAGATGGAAATAATCCTTTATTTCTCATTAAAAAGCATTAAAAAGCAAAATATATTTGTTTACTTAGTTATATATATAATTCTTTCTTAACTATTTTGGTTGCTAAAACCATTCTCTCAGCACTTTGCATGCTTTCTTTCACTTAAAAAAATATATAAGTGCCTACCAACTGAAACTCTCTTGTAGCTTTCAGTCAAATAAAGGAAGGTAAGAATGAGCAGTTCCATTTAAATTTAACCACACAGAAGTGATGGATACCATGGAAGATAAATGGTGATATAGCAGACTTAGATATATCCATTATAAAATTATTCTAACAAACATTTATACTCTTGCTAGACAATCCCATCCCCCTGCCCCCCCCGCCCCAGCCTCAATGAAAGTTGAGAAAAATTCTTTAACATGTAGATTTACATTGCTATCTTGTGTGATCTATGAAGATAAATCTCAATGAGAGGCAGAGAACATATTAAAGTAGTAAAATCAAGAAAAAGTTTGGAAATTTTAGGCAAGAAAATGCTGTTAGAAATGGCTAAATGAAATAAAAAAGAGGAAAAGTTTCAGAAATGAAGTATGGTAGGAATCAAAAATAGTGTTGGGATGGAGCAAGGTACATCAACAAGAGTAGATTTTGAAATAGAACTTTAAAATTATGTAAAAGAGAAGTGAGGACAAGAATTTTGAAAACTATATTAAAGAAAATCATGACTACGAAAAAGAGCACAAATCATAAGTGATTTGATGAGTTATTTTGAACCCTTAAAACCACACACCTACATCAAGAAACTTCTAGGACATTCATAACACTCAGAATCCTCAAGTGTGTGTTCCCCAAAATACTGCCTGTTACCTCTCTTCAAAAAGTACCACTCTCCTGACTTATAACCATATATATTAGCTTTGTCCATTTCTGAACTTTATATAAATGGATTAATATGTATTCTTTTGAGTCTGGCTTATTTGCTTACTATTGTATTTGTGAGATTCATCCATGTTGTATGTAGCAGTAGTTTTGTTTTTCTTTCCATTTCAGTATATTATTATAGTATGCAAACAGATCACAATTTATTTATTTATTTTTTTCTATTCTAATCTGGATAGGTATTTGGATTTTATTTCTACTTGAGGGTTAATAACATAAATGCTCCTCTGAACATTCTTATACATTTCTTTGGCTAAGCATTCATAGACATTTCTATTAAGTATATAGTTAGAAGTGGATTCTTCAAGCATAAGGTATGTGTATGTTCATACCTTATTAACTTTCCAAAGGGTTGTATCAATTAGGCATACACTCCTATCAGCATATATGAGAGTTTCTGTCACTCTCCAACTTTATTAAAAGCCTGTCTAGTTAGTTTGTAATGGTAATGTAGTTTTTGTTTTTTTTTTATTGATATGTAATTAATATACAATATCCTGTTAGTTTCATGTGTACATCATAGTGATTTTTTTATTTGTATACATTATAAAATGATCCCCACAATAAGTCTAGTTACCATCTGTCACCATAAAAAATATTACAACATTATTGACTGTATTCTCTATACTTTATAGTATATCCCCATGACTTATTATTTTGTAACTGTAAGTTTGTACTGCTTAATCCCCTTTATCTATTTTATCCACCCCCCCCAACCCCTCTTCTCTCTGGTAACCACTACTTGGTTTTCTGGATTTTTGAGTCTGTTAAGGTTTTGTTTTGTTTGTTCATTTGTTTTGTTTTTTAGATTCCACTTATAAGTGAAATCATACAGTATTTGTCTTTACCTGACATTTCATTTAGCATAATACCCTCTACCTAGGTCCATTCGTGTTGTCACAAATGTCAAGATTTCATTCTTTTTTATGCCTGAGTAATTTTCCATGATTGATATATATCACATTTGAGTTGTGTCCATATTTTGGCTATTGTAAATAATGTCACAATGAACACAAAGGTACATACATCTCTTCAAATCAGTGTTTTGAATTTCTTTGGATAAATACCCAGGAGAGGAATTGCTAGATTATATGGTATCTAATTTTTAATTTTTTGAGGAACTTCCATACTGTTTTCCATAGTGGCTGCACCATTTTACATTCCCAAAAATGTATGAAGAATCACATTTCTGCACATCCTCACCTATATTTGTTATTTTTTGTCTTTTTGATAATAGCCATTCTGAAAGATGTGATGTGATATCCCATTTTGGTTTTGATTTGTATTTCCCTGATGATTAGTGATGTCGAGCATCTTTTCATATGCTTGTTGGCCATCTATATGTCTGTCCTCTTGGGAGCAATATCTATTCAGGTCATCTTCCTTTTTTTTTAATTGGATTGTTTTGTTTTGTTTTGTTTTGTTTTATGAATTCTTTGTATATTTTAGATATTTACCCTTTATTGGCTTTTTCAAGTATCTTCTTCTATTCAGTAGGTTGTCCTTTCAGTTTGTTAATGACATCTTTCGCTGTACAAAAACTTGTTAGTTTGATGTAATCCCATTTGTTTATTTTTGCTTTCATTGCCTTTGCCTGTGGAGACTAGTCCCTTAAAAATATTGCTAAGCCCAATGTCAAAGAGTATACTGCCTGTTTTCTTCTAGGAAGTTTATGGTTTTAGGTCTTATGTTCAAGTCATTAATCTATTTTGAATTTATTTTTTTTATGTGGTGTAAGATAGTGGTCCAGTTTTATTCTTTTGCATTTAACTGTCCAGTTTTCTCAACACCGTTTATTAAACAGACTGTCTTTTCCCCATTGTATAATCTTATCTCTTTTCTCATAGGATAATTGACCGTATATATGAAAGTTTTTTTCTGGCTCTCTGATTCTATTGATCTATGTGTCTATGTTAGATTGACATAGAAACTACTAAAAATATATTTTAGAAAAGAGTATATTTTGTCTCACATCTAAATGGGTCTCTCTCCTAAGTGTTATTACCATATAATTGATAAACTAGATAGTTGCTTTAAGTCCACTTTGTAACAGGACAGACAGATAAAAATAGATAAGTAAAAGTCAAAAGTCACCACACATCCAAGAAGTCAACTACATATTGTTGAGAAGATTGTGATTGGACTTGTATATCTCCTATTTGATGCCCTATCTTGCATTTCTACCACATAATGACTATTACTCTTCTACCATTTATGGAAAAGAGTCTAAATCACTTTAGCCTTTTCTGATTTTACATACTAAATTATCAATATCACAGTTTCCTTTGCTCGCCGCATAACATATTTTGCAGCTAAACTAAGCATTTAATATGTTCCCTGCCCAGATATCATATTCTCTCTGTGTGTGCTTTTATTATTAGTTTTCCCTCCACCTACAATTACCATATGTAATTCTCTTCCTCCACTCCAGCTGTACCACTACCTGCCTCTAGAACAGTTTACAATCTGTCCTAGAGATTTGCTTTGTTTAACCCTCTTTGTATACATAAATATTGTATGTTTCAAAGTTTTTAAGCAAACGCCAACAATAGAATATCAGGACCTTTCTTATAAAAACTTTTATTTCCAGATATATTCTGAAAAATTAGAAGTTTGTCAACACTGGACCGTCATTCCTGGAGAATAATGCATGGCAA